TTAGCATTAAACCAAATTATTGTGATGAGAAATTTCATGTTTCAATCATCATAGATATAGGAATAAAATACAAACCCTTCTATTTTTTATTTCTAAATGGTTTAGGCGATCCTAAACATAGAATCAAAATGACAATGATTTATCTTTTTTGTGTGTAACACTTCTGGAGTTTGAACTCAGGCTCTCATATCTGTTACGCAGATGCTTCACTCATTGAGCTACACCTCCAGTCCTTTTTGCTTTTGGTTGTTTTGCATAGGGTCTCACACTTTTTGTCTAGGGCCAGCCGTGGGTTGTAATCCTATTTATACCTCCTTCATAGCTAGGATCCCAGGTGCTAGCACATTCAGATCATTTGCTTAGAAGAGGTCTTCCTGACTTTTTGCCAGGCTGGCATTGAACTAAGATCTTCCTGACCTCCAGCTCCCAGACAGCTGAGATTACAGGTGTGAGTTACCACACTTAGCTGACAATGATTTCAAATTTAAATTAAAAACTAAATTCAAATGGGCCGCAAAATATTCTCCCAAATGCAAGAAGTAGGGGCTGGCTGGCAGGTGCATCATGGACTGAGGGGAGTGTTGCTTAGTTTTCCATCACTAGAACAAAGCTTCTGAGGTAACTAACTTGTAAAGAGGAAAGGTTCATCTGGCTTATAGTTATGGAAGCAAACAGATTGCTCTGGGCTTCTGGAGGGAGTAAAATGCTGGGGGAGAGAGTGTGGAGCCAAGTTCTCATCTCATCGGAGGAAGAAAAGAAAAATAGGGTAGGGGCCCATAGTGTCTTCTATGACCCACCCTCCCCCCCCATCCCCTGCAAAAAACCTACGATCTTCCACTAGGCCTCACATGGCAAAATTTCCTCCATTCTCAATAGTGTCGCTCTGTGTACAGGCCTTTAACACACCGAGGACATTCTCCATCCAAAGTACAGCAAGGGGAAAGAAAATCCTAGGCTCATTCTTGAGCTGTCTGAATATCAGGCTGTGCCTGGAAGGATTGGGCATCCAAGGTTGAAGAGGGCTGCCCACGAACCAAGTGAGGAGTCAGGCTGATGGTTCTTGGGGTCTCTCGTGCACAGGTACTGCGTGTTTCAGGGCCTGGGTTAGCAAAGCTCAGAGTATACGTGTGCTCATTCATCCCTCAGGCCTGGGACAGGTGAAGCAAGACCTGTGAGCTAGACAAGACACAACACACCCAGCCAAACCTGTTGGCCCTGGCTGAGAAGTCACCCAACTCCTTTACCCTCACCTCCCATGTCCCATCAGCTAGGACACAGGGAGAGTCGTCTCTGATGAGTGTCCCATTTTATCCCACATTTTGTGCCTGCCTCTTCCCTCAGCCGCTGCCTATGTCCAGTACCATCTCTTTCCCTTAAGGGTGTCCATCTGGGTCTCCCTAGGGACTGTGTGTCACAAACCATCCTCCACAGTGGAATCTGAGTGATGCTGGTTCTAAAATGCCTCTCTGATTTTCCGCTCTGCTTTACATCTTCCAGTCATACCCCATCTGGCTACCGCCGGGGCTCTCCCACTCTGAGCTATCCTGAGGACAGCTTCTGTCTGTCTAGAAAATTCTTCCTGCTCTCTTTCTGGCTAACCCCCAGCAGGTTTCAAACTCTGGGTCCTGCACAGTTCTCTCTCTGCACATCTCCATAGGCTTCCCATTCTGCTCCCAAGGCAGTCCTAGGAGTCTCAATCCATAGCCCCAACCAGCAGGTCTCCAAATGTACGTAGCCCAGGGGCTGGGCTCACCCTGGGGCATCCAATGCCCAAATCATTCTTGTTCATGGCACTTGGCATAGTTCTAAGGACTGAATGAACATTAACAGTATCAGTCTGTTTTCTGTGGCTAATGACATAATCCCCTAGAGTAGGTAAACAGAAAAAAAGAGGTTTATTTTGGTTCATGGGTCTGGTCCAAGGGAGAGGACCCACATGGAGGGATGGATGGCTTTCTAGCCAGCAGCAGAAACCCAAGGAAGTGTTGGATTATCTCTCAGCAAAAGAAAGGGATGTGCAAGTATGTCTCCTGGTCCACCCTATGACTTTATGTAATTCTAATAATCTTCCCAATGAGTGGGGAGGGGTGTTAGATAGAGTGAGCAGCTAGTGCAAAGGGCCTGAGGTAGCCTATATAGTGCACCAGCATGCTGGAACTCAGGACATGCACGGAGCAGTAAAGTGGTAGGCGCTACAGTATGCAAGCCTAGGGCTTAGGTCAGGTAGAGCCTTTCAGGTATCCCAAGGACTCTGGAGTTGACGTGGCCTTCAGTGGTAGGTGTGGAGCCTGGTGGACATGGTGTGACTTACTTTTTAAAGTACCACTGTGGCTGCTGAATGGAGAGTATGGCTTTGAAGTGCAGTGTGAGAGACAGGTAAAGTTAGGGCAGCGGTCCTGATGCTGATGGTAACTAGGATGCCCTCATCAGGACATAGGGACAGATGGTCAGGTGGAGTAGTGGATTTCCTGACAGTTATCTGTGCAAATGGAGAAAAAGGGGAGGGCTGAATGGCTTCAGGGGTTTTGCTTAGGCTACCGGGTAGGTTGGAGGTAATACCTGTTGGTAAGGGAGGCTTCAAGTGAAACTTTCTATTTTACTCCTGTAAGTCTGAGTTGCTGTCAGGATTTAGTTTTGTCTTCTCTGAAACTTGGATATTAATGTTTACTTTACACATTTTTGGTGAGACTCAAATAGGATCATTTTCTTTTGATGATATAAGGATGCCAGGTTTGTTCTCGGCCACGTGGAGGCTCCCAGTAGAACTCCCATTAAAGGAACACAAAGACAACTCCCTCTGATTAGCTAGCTCTTGTTTCATTTGTGCAATTGTCTCTCCCATCAAGGTGGGAAGCTGGGAATAAGACCACTCTCTATGTTCATTTAACATTTGTGATAGAGTGTTTATATGGGGTATATATACAGGTTAACATTTACATGGAGCTAATGCTCCATATATATTTATGTAATAAATATAATGACCAATTAAAGCATAGGTTATATACATATCTATAGTGTATTTCTGTATGTGTGTTAGATCCTGTTTTCAGGACTTTATAAATATCTCAGGGCTTTTTTTTAAAGCAATAGTTTTCTGGAGATTATACTCTCACCCTCGTTTTTCCAAAGAGGGAATTTGTTCCGGATCCCACAGAGAGTAAATGGCAGAGGCAGAAGTCAGCCCCCAAAGCTCTAGCTCTGCTTTAGGCTGAGTGAACCTTCCCATCTCTGGCATGTGACCTTGAACATGCCTATCTCTGGCACCCCAGACCTACAAGCATTCCTGCTTGAGTTCTTACAAAGTCCTGCAAAGCTTGCCAGTTTTTGTTGTTGCTGTTGTTGTTTGGGTGCTGGTCCTGGGGCTTGAACTCAGGGCCTAGGTATGGTCCCTGAGCTGTTTTTGCTCAACGCTAGTGCTCTACCACTTCAGCCACAACTCCATTTCTGGCTTTGGGCAGTTAATTGGAAACAAGAGTCTCATGGACTTACCTCCTTAGTGTGGCTTTGAACTGGTGACCCTCATATTTCAGACTCTTGAGTAGCTAGGCTTACAGGTATGAGCTAAGGTGCCTGGCCAAGCCTGCCAGTAATGATGACAGCATGCTCTTTGCCTCAGCCTTCCTCACACTGCTACCAGCCACTCCAACCCTCTTGTCTTTTTCTTCTAATGTCCCGAGGTCAGTCTTCTGGCCTGCATTGCTACACACAGGCTGTTTTGGTCTTCAGCTCTCTCAACGTGTCCCACCTCTCTGCCAGCTGTTCCAAGTTGCTTCAGACCCTTGCAAGAATCATGTTTTCCACTCCTGTGTTGAAACAGACCACGTGGCACATGGAGCAGAGCACTGAAGGAAAGAGATGACCACCACCTGAACTCTTTATCTTTCCAGACACATTCAGCTAGAGGACTGGTCCCTTGCACTTCATTCAGTTTTGGATCCTTTCTCCTAGCACCGAATGGCTGGATACAAAACCAGAATCTAATGAACATCCACCTGTTCAGTTAGCACATGTTTATTGAGTGCTTACTACTTATTGGGCAGGCCAAGGTACTGGGGCTTCATTAGGCAGGAAATTACAGGTTCCCAGGAACTTGGGAGAGTCTTGCTTCAGAGCTATTGGGAAGTGGTGAACAAGGTGAGTGCAGTAAGGACCAAAAGATAGGAGGCTAGTAGCCCAAGCAGAGACCAAGTATAGAGGCTGCCATGCCATTTGGTCAGAGCTACACAAGCACGTGCGGCGCCGCTGTGAAGACAAGTCCAGCTGAAGCCACTCGCACCTCAGGCTGGGCACAAGCCTAAGGTGGAGGTGGCTAAAAGTGGAAATTGTTAAAGAGAGGGTTGGACAGTGCGTGTGCTGGCTTGGCTCCAGGCTTGGGGCTCAGTGACCACTCTCTGGAGTATAGATCCAGCTCCCAGGCCTGTTGCTTAGGTGTGTCACCTTAGCCACGGCCGGAGCCCATGTTTAGCGTCGGTAAAATGGGTTTCCAAAAACCTTAGCGGTAGTAAGAGGATTAACAAGGGAGAATGCCCGGACAGCTTCTCCAGGCTCCCAGAGCAGAGGTTGTAATTACCTGACGCTCAAACGTGTCCCCGGTCCCTTGGCGTCCCCAGGGCCTGGGCGTCCACGGCTGTCTTCCCAGGGTCCGGCTCTCAGCCTATTAGGGCGCGCCCTGCTTTGATAGATTTATTTGCTTGCTTGGGGCGGGGCTTGGACCGAAGCGTGGAGGAGGAGGAGGTGGTGCAAGGATTGGAGGCGAGGGTAAAGAAAGGGAAGCCGCGGAGGGGCAAGAGAGAGCGAAGCGGGGCTGGGGAGGAGTCGGGCTGGGCTGCCGGGGGGCCCGCGCCCTGCGCACCGGAGCCGCTGGTGACCGCGGCGGGGGCGGGGGCGGCGCGCGGCGGCCAATGGCGCGCGGCGCTGCGGCGAGGGCGGGGCAGGAACCCCGGCCACTGACAGCCAAACTCGCCAACTCCGCCCTGATCCCCGCGGGATCCGGGAGCCCGAGCCGGCCTGGGGCCGAGGCCGCCCGCGTGCCGCGCTGCAATTTAGCGAACATGGCAGCAGAATGAAGAGGCCCGCGCCGGGTGGTGGTGGAGCCGGGGATCCGCACGGGGCGCGCTGCGAGCCGCATCCTTAGTCGGCCTCCTGGTGGCCGCTGGGTTATTTCATTCGGATCTGTGGGTGGGGAGGAAGAAAGGAGACCCCCCCCTCCGCCACCGCCCCCGAAGCCAGGCGGGTCGGTGCTCCGGCCGGCAGGGTAGAGAGAATCGTGCGTGTGACTCGCTGGTTGCGGAAACGACGCGGGAAGGAACCGGTCCAGGGCTGCGGCGGCGCGGGCGCCGGCATGAGCCGGCCATGGGGCGGCCTCGGCGGGGCGCACGGAACCGGCCGGCGCCGCAGCGGGAAGGCGGCCTGAGACGGAGCATCGCGGGGCTCCGGGGCCTCGCACAGCCCGGGGGAGTCCCTGACGCTGTCTGCGGGAAGGACGGGAACCCCGCGTGGCGGACACTGCCGCAGTCCCCGTGCTGACGCGCGCCGTGCCTGCTGGGTCTGCCGCTCGGTGCGCTCTGGGCACCTGGCGCGCCGCGGGGAGCTCGGGCTGCGGGAGCCCAGTGCGGGACTGGCTTAGGAGAGCGGTGTGCGCGCGGGTTCGACCGGGCAGCCAACAGCAGCGCCCGTGAGGATCGGAGCAGCCATGCTTCCCGGGGTGGGCGTGTTCGGCACCAGCCTCACGGCGCGTGTCATCATCCCGCTGCTGAAAGACGAGGGCTTCGCGGTGAAGGCGCTGTGGGGCCGCACGCAGGAGGAAGCCGAGGAGCTGGCCAAGGAGATGAGCGTCCCCTTCTACACGAGCCGCATTGACGAGGTGCTGCTGCACCAGGACGTGGACTTGGTGTGCATCAACCTGCCGCCGCCCCTCACCAGGCAGATCGCTGTCAAGACCCTGGGTAAGCGACCCCCCGTCCCCCCAGCCTTGTCTCCTCGCCATTTCCACATCCCAGAACCACACACTGCCTCTGCCTTGCCCTGGGGATCTGAGCTCTTACTCCAGCCTTCCTCCTTCCAAGTCCACGGCCTTTGCACATCCTGGCCTCAAGCTGGAGGCGCTTTCCCACAAGTGTGGTGCCAGGTCGCAGGAGGCGTGGAGTCTTGCAGGAGCGCGAACAGGGTGGATTAGATAGATGCTTTGCTTCTGACAGGGAGAGAGAGGTAATGTGGTCCCCAGCTGCGAGTGTGGAAGGCACCCGGAAAATGCCCACCAGGGCTGCACGTGTCTTCAGTTTTCCTGGAGGCCGCAGCAGTACCTGCTGTCCGCGGCGGAGGCTGCTTACCACTGTGAGTTAGTTTCTGTGCGATTAGAGTTGTGACAGTCAGCTGGGGTTGCTTACTCTGCTGGAGGTGGGGATGGCCCTGGGGATGGGGGGGGGGGATTGGATGAGAGGTGTCCTGAGTTGATGAAAATGGATGAAAGTTGATGGATGGGTAAAACTAGAGGAATTTAATCGTTGAACTAACTGATTGTCTTCCCCCTGATTGATTGTAAATGAGAGCCTCTACATTTTTAGGGGGTGTTTAAAAGGTATGGATGCTTTGTGTTGGAAAAGGCTAGACTCTCTTAGGGGTTTCATTTGGAAGCATGTGGTGGAATTGCCCTAATGCCCTTTAGCAAGAGTTTTGAGGTACAGCAGTTGGCAAGCAAGTGGGGGAGGAGGTGATTTTCCTCCCCTCACCCAGGCAATCTGAACTAGTCTCTCTGAGCATCAGCCTGTCTGTTGTGCTGGCAGGAAAGAGAAACACGTGTTTCGCCCATCAGCAGTTCACACACATATCTAGAACAATCCCAGGAAGATTGCTCAGTCTCTACTCTTCTAAGAAAATTAGAGACCTTGAAAGATGGAGGCTTTTTTTTTTTTTTTCTGGTAAAGAGAGACAAGGCTTCCAGCGAGATGAATGGCAGTATCTGATGGATTTGTAAGGAGGCTAGTCATGCTGGTTATTTTTTTATGTTTATTTTTCTTTAACTTCTGGGCTATGGTCACTTGGGTTCTTGGGCCTTGAACAGAATGTCATTGAGTTCTGGTCAATATTTCTTTTCTGTGTGAAGCATGGGGCATTTTTGCTGGGTGGCTAACTCCCTTGTTTAGATTGGATCTGTGTACATCTAATAAACTATAACCAAGCAGTAGTATAAATCTACCTGAGCAATTTGTATAAAACCAGCACTTCTGGAACACTGTTTGGGCTGTAAGGCTCAGGACTGGTCCTGTCAGGGAGGCCTCTGGTGGTGACCCAGCCCTGAAGGGCAGACCCACAGAGCAACCCCACAGTAGGGCAGGGGTGGTTTAGAGAACAAAGTTGTTCTGTGTCCTCATCATCTTTAGCCCTTGGGCTAAGAAACTGTTTGGGGAGTCTGCATTCAAGAGATGTCTCCAGACTCTTGTTTTGTGCTTATTTTTAAAAAAAATGCTGTGAGGAGTGGTGTTGTAGCTCAGTGGTAGCCGAAGAGTCCTTACCCAGCATGCTCGAGTCTCTGGGTTTCATCCCCAGCCTTGGAAAATTGAGTTTTTTTCCTTTTTACTGAAAGACTAGTGAGTTACCTCAGCACCAGCCATAAGAGGCATGCTGGGTTTATTTGAGTGAGTATGGCTAACCCCCAGTGGTTTGTTTATGTTTTCACCTCTTTCCGGCTCTTATCATCTTATTTAAGCCCACCTTTTGCAGATAATTCAAGGTAGTCTGCAATGATAGATAGTATGGCTTGGACTGCAGTATTGTGGCATCATCATCCTTGGAAGATTTCTTAGAGCTCTCCGTGCTTGTGACCAAGTGCCAGTCCAGTGGGTGTTTTTCACGGTTGGCTTCACAGTCATGGTTAGAGACTTGATACACACAATTCAGGAAGTGAACTCCAAACTGTTACGCTGGCCCAATCCTTGGGTGTTTATAGATATTAGTGTTTGTGTGGAACTAAACCAGCCAATCTTTGAACAGCCCAGGATAACTGTCCTCCTTCTAGCAAAATCTTGGGTGTTGAGTTACTTGCCCAGCTATTGTGATAGATCTCTGGCCCTTGATCCATACTTATGTCTGGTCTCAGGCTTGTGGAAAGGAGGGCATGGTGGAGGGATTGTACAGGAATGAGTCTTTGCTGAATCATACACATCCTCCTGTTTGTTTGCAGAAATTTCTTTGGAATTCCTACCTCAGAGACCTATGAAAGGCCATGTGTGTATGTTGAGGGGGGGTGAACCTACTGTGTGTGTGTGGGGGGGTGGTCAAGAGATTTCTGTGTTTAAGGCATTTCATTTTGTGGCTAGACACTAAATAGCCCCACTTAACAAACCAGGCACCTGAGATTGACAGAGTTGAGTTGAGCTGCCCAGGGACACACAGCCTCCAGCATTCAGCTCTTCCTGTCCACCTCCTAAGCTAGGTCCTTTTCTGCAGTTCTGCTGGCCATGTCCTACCCTCCTTATCTGTGCTTCATTTATACCACCCATGGCACTGGTTCTCATACCAGGTCGATGCCATCTTCTGAATTCTTCTGTATCTGTTTCTCCTTCTATGACATCGCTTTCCCCAGATAAGCCTACTTAATTTGAATTAGGATTCAGACCATCCCAGCCCCTTACCTGCCTCTGTCCACTCTCCTCATGGCACCAGCAATGTTAGAGAATACAGACTGGGCCCTGTCACTGGTTCCCTTTCCAAGGCTGCCGGTGACTTTCAGGAAAAACAACAACAACAACAACCTCATAAAACTGAAAGACCCTTAACTTCATGGCTTGACAAGAAAGAACTGTCCTCTGGACCTGCCCCGTCTCCTTTCTTGTGGGGGCCTGCCAAGGAAACATAGACACTGTTCTGCCAAGAGTACCCTTGTCCTTTGTGGTTGCAATCAACAACGGTGGCACCTCCTAAAATGCAGCCTGAGTGAGCATCTCCAGAATCCTTTGTCTTCCTCAGCCCCATTCCCTATGTTCCCTTGTAGGTTCTCAGCATCCTCCACTCCATCTTCTTCTGCATCTATTTGAATATATTTGTTAAAATGTAAATTGTATTTGGTTATTTTGCATAGGTTATATATTCTCACAGTACAAATTCCAAATACTATACGTCTACAGTGAAGAGTAAATGTCGCCTGTAGAAGCAATCATGTTTGTTTGTTTTCCTCCTTTTTGGCAGGACTGGGTTTTGAACTTAGGGTTTCACAGGTGTTAAGCAGCCAGTGTCTTTTTGTGTTGGTTATTTTCAAACCAGGTTCATGCTTTGAGCCCTGACTGGCCTAGACTGTGAGCTTCCTATTTATGCTTCCTTTTCCTGGCTGGAATGTCAATGTTACTTTAAAATATCTCCTGTTCAAGGTTTTTCTAGGTATACAATGGCAAATACATGTGTAAAAAAATTTGAACCCTTCTTTCCATAATCAATAATGTTCCATTGACAGTGTTCTTCTGAGCTTTGCTTTTGTCATGCAATGTTATCTTGAATAGATACACAAACATATAGCCTTGAAGAAGTCATTTAATATCTAAAATTTAGATGGATAATGCCTGTATGCACACACACATTCAGTTGGCCCTCCATATTTGTGGGTTCCACATCTGCAGGTTCAACCAACCGTAAATCAAAAATACTTGAAATAGTTATCCTTTCTGGGCAAACTGTTTTCCTGTTGTTATCCCCTAAAGAAGACACTAGGATTAGAGTCTATGTAGCATTGCATTGCATTAGTAGTGTAAGTAATCTAGAGAGGATTTAAGGTTGTTGTGGGAGGATATGTGTAGGTTATGTTCAGACACTATGTGATTTATAAGGGACCTGAGCATCCATAGACTGTTACCCTTGGTAGTCCTGGAAACAATTCCTGCAGATGCTGAGGAAAAACTAAATACTCATAGACACACATAGATATGTGTGTCTCCATATATAGACACACATATGTATGTATATATGTATACATATTAGAATGTTAAAAGTATTCCTGTTCCTATTTTTGGCCATGTAGTATCTTATCATATAGGTAAGTCAACATTTATTTCATAGTTCCCTATTATTCAGCAACCCTATTAAAGTTGCTTCCACTCAGTACTAGGACTTGAACTCAGGGCCTTGAGCTTTTGTTTGGCTTTTTCACTCAAGACTGGTGACTACCACTTAAGCCACACCTCCACTTCTGCCTTTTTCTGCTTGTTAATTGGAGGTAAGAGTCTTATGGACTTTTCTGCCCGGGCTGGTTTTGAACTATGATTCTCAGATGTCAGCCTCCTGAGTAGCTAGGATTTACAGGGGTGAGTCACAAGCACTGGGCTCTTTTCATTCTTTTGCCTCTGAAAACATGAAATGAAGAAAAGCCTGTGTCATTTTTTTGGCGGGGGGGGGGGGGGGGCGGGGGTGTTGGGGGTCTGTTGTAAGGCTTGAACTCTGGGCCTGGGCGCTGTTCCTCAGCTCTTCAGCTCAAGGCTAGTACTCTACCTCTTGAGCCACAGTGCCACTTCTGGCTTTTTCTACTTACGTAGTGCTAAGGAATCGAACCCAGGGCGTCATGCATGCAAGGCAAGCACTCTACCACTGAGCCACCTTCCTAGCCTAGTCTGTGTCATTTTGCACACTACTCTGAAGGACAAACGCATGAATGGAGGGCTGGTCAGAGAGTGTGGGTTTATTTCATTCAGGATGTGTCCGAATTAACCTGTAGCTGAAACAACCTTATGTGTTGGCACTGTCCCTGTGTGCTCTCCCTGCAAGGCCTTTGACTGCCACGTGCCTGGAGTAAAGACGCTTTTGCTCACGTTGTGTGGCTCAGAACTCAGGCCACTACCCCACCTGTCCTAGGCCAGCTATAGGCTAGTCAAAACTTGTCATGGCCCCCTCTACCTAAGTCATGCAGTTAGCTGTACAGTTGCCTGTCTTGATCCTTGTTTCAGTCTGTTCTCTATACAATGGA